GGATGTGACATGAGCAGAATAGACAAGTTGAAAGCAGTGAGATGATGTCCCCATCACATCTTGGGCTTCTGCTCCTCTGGATTTCAGGTGAGAATATTTGGACATGGCTAAAAGTGGGGATATTGCTTCAATTGCTAATTTTCTTTATTGGGAACCCTGCAACATATTAGATTTTTTGTTTAAAAGTTTTTCTCCTAACTATGTAGACCTCTTGTGACATGATTAATCGTGTGGATATTTGATTTTATGTTTCCAATCTCAGGTGCCAGATGTGACATCCAGTTGACCCAGTCTCCATCCTCCCTGTCTGCATCTGTAGGAGACAAAGTCACCATCACCTGCCAGGCCAGTCAGAGCATTAGCACCAGCTTACACTGGTACCAGCAGAAACCGTATCAGCCTCCAAAGCTTCTAATAAAGTATGCTTCTCAGTCCATCTCTGGGATTCCCTCACGGTTCAGTGGCAGTGGATCTGGGACGGATTTCAAACTCACCATCAGCAGCCTAGAAGCTGAAGATGCTGCAACTTACTACNCTCATCAGGCCAAATTAACATGGTATCAATATACTGTTGTATGGGATGATGCTTTGTGTAATGTCCACACAATAAAAGCTTCTTCAGCCTATACTGTGACAGTAAGCAAGAGAGTTAACATAGCCCTGGGCCAAGACTGAAGATGTACACTTCTGCTCATTCCAGGTAAATACATACTCTACCAGAGGACTACGTCAGTTTGTATTTGCTGCTCAGCCCCGTATCTGGTCAAGAATGCACAAAGCTCTTTCAAAATACCAAATCTCTCATCTGCAGGTGGCCAGCAGAGGGAGACTTGCATGTTCACAGAAGGGACAAAGGAGAGCGTGCTCTCCTGACAAACATACTTTCTGAGGACTGTATTTAAAACCATATGAACTCCCCATAATTTGCATATATCCTTTCTCTTACATCTGAAGTGGTCCTGCCTCTCAGAATCTTATAAGAAGGTCTTTCTCCAGAGATGTGACATGAGCAGAAGAGACAAGTTGAAAGGAGTGAGATGATGTCCCCATCACATCTCCTTGGGCTTCTGCTCCTCTGGGTTTCAGGTGAGAATATTTGGACATGGCTAAAAGTGGGGATATTGCTTCAATTGCTAATTTCTTTATTGGGAACCCTGCAACATATTAGATTTTTTTTTTAAAGTTTTTCTCCTAACTAGGTTAGTGCTGATTTCCATGTATAGAGAGTAGTATTCTGCTAAAGTTTCCTATATGGTTTCAGCTTCCAGGGGTGATATTGTGCTGACCCAGTCTCCAGACTCCCTGTCTGGAACTCCAGGGGAGAAAGTCACCATCACCTGCCGGGCCAGTCAGAGCATTAGCAGCAGCTTACACTGGTACCAGCAGAAACCGAATCAGCCTCCAAAGCTTCTAATAAAGTATGCTTCTCAGTCCATCTCTGGGATCCCCTCACGGTTCAGTGGCAGTGGATCTGGGACGGATTTCACACTCACCATCAGTAGCCTAGAAGCTGAAGATGCTGCAACTTACTACTGTCAACAGAGCAGTAGTAATCCTCACA